CAAACAAATACAAAAAATAATTTTTTCGTGCATGTTTTCCATAAAATATATTAGAATTTATAAGAGCAGTCTAAATCAATGATAAAAAGGCATACTACTTAAGTAGCCAGTTTTTACAAGAGATACTTTTTGCTGATAGTCAGAACGAAGCTCGTTAAAAAGCCCGCATCATATCATGACGGAGTGAACTTCAGAATAGACTACACGATAATCAGTACCAAAACCTGAGTCAACACCGATTAGCGAAAGAGTATAAATCTTTCGCCTATGTCGAAATGTTGCGTAATCCGTGGCGTCTACTGTATTTCATTCTGCTCATACATTGAACGGGACAATGTGAGGAAGATCTAGCACGCCGGGCGCAACCTTTTCTCATCATATTTTGTCCTCTTGCAAACTGCCGAATTCCTCACCAAGAGATGCACTTGAAAAACAAACACCCGACGCGATGACAGAAATCTCCCTATCCCCAGGAGAATATGATCAGTGTGAAGGTTAGGATTGTGATTACGTTTAAGTTAGGGTTAAGGTTGGGAGTAGAGTTTATTTTAAGATTAAGGTTAAAGTTTCGGTTAGTGTCAGGGTTACATTAACCGTTCCTGGAATCTTGAGCAAGGCTGTAGTTGCTCTACAGCCCGACTCCCTCCTAACTTTTGACGCCACAGGCGAGGTCACTCAGAGCATAGGACCCCACACGAAGGCAGTTTTCGGCGTGCCTCGGGCCAGGCACAAACGCACGCGTAACCCCTCACTGCTGGCGAACGTGCACAAAAGGTCCTTCCCGTTCTGGCCTCAATCCACAGTGGCTTGACCTCAATCTGTCCAGTGAGATTCCCGCGTTAGTAAACTAGCCTCATTTAGTCGGTTGGCCTCAACCCGTCTGGACACAGACCTCAATGCGGTTACTGAACGCCCGACATCACTTCGGACCCGACCCGAATAGGGAACGGATTGCACACGTCCGAGTCAAATATCCTCCTACCTATTCTTCCTATCCTTCTGTACAGAATATAATCTTCCTACCACTCTGGCGTTCCCATGAATTCCCTCCCCTCCTAAGAAACCGGGCCTAGAAGATCGCAGTCGTTAGGGTTTAGCCTCTATTAACCCTCAGTATTCGATAAGGCCACTTGTATTAACGGCGCGGAACGGGAGGAAGCATAGTGGGGAAGTAGACCCTATTTACCTGTCTTACCTCTTTCCTGCAAGCCAATGACCCATGTAATAAATCGAGTATTTGAAAAGAAGTGCTCACGGAGACTATTTTTGAGCAAACTGCCGTATGGTGCACCGACTACCAAACTTATAATTACAGAGGGAACTTGAATGGAGAGATGGGAAGCATCAACACTTCAACTGGATTACAAGGCAGCCGTTGATAACAATCCGATGAAATGCTCAAAGGCGTCAATTGAGATAGTTCTAAAACGACTATCATGCTCAATCAGAGAGTTGTTTCAACAAGACAAACTCCAGGACTCTGTCAATTAAGTTGTCTTTCCCTGTCGCCGATAGGCTCTTTAACTGGCTTACCCAAGTACATAATCTTGAAGCAGTTTTCTCACCAGCTCAACACAACTGCATACCGTCGACGCGATTGGGTAAAGCAAAGCAAGAGATGTTATAAAGTGAGGGCCTGAGGCCCCAAGTTGTCGGACAACTAAACAGTACTGTCAGTACTGTCCAATCTTATGTCGACTCTCAGGTCGACGACCATAGAGCGGTAACCCGCGCACCAGTGGCAATAAAGAAGACTAGTAAAGGTATTAAGACTATCGGATGGCAATAATGGGGAACAAGGTGCATTCAAAGAGAGCTTAAAGAAAGGGGAAATACTCCCAGTTAAAGGGAATCGGCTAACCTTCAGATTTCCTGCCGCAGTCAAGACGGATTTGACGGCACGCATGCCATAATCGTAGTGCGGCTGACTAGACAACTGTTCAGAGCACAGACGGTAGGTAGCGACAATCTTGACGGCGAGCGGACGAGCGTTCACAAAGCCGCAGGAGTAGAGCGAAATCTCCGCAATCATTGCGTAGTCGGGTACCATCATGGCCACGGAACGGAACAGCGCCTGTCAAGGTGACAACACCAAAAGTTGAGAACAAAAAAAATTACTCTGACCAGCCACGACTACCTCTCTCCGCATCCCGGCAAGTGGGCTATATATTCTACCGAAAAGAAGACTGATTATGGGGCTTAGGAGCCTCAAATTACGAAAATAAATAGCTAAAAAATCGGCACATTCTGTTCCAGAATTTGACTGACACGCGCCGTGCAAATCTAGCGACGACTTAAAGAACCAGACAGGAGACAGTAGACACGATCGCTGGGTCAGGACTTTATTCCTCCGGTGTTTTGGATTCATACTCAAATCCATCAGCAGATAAATGAGCAGGTCTTGTCGCAGCGATTGCACCTAATTCTTCTCAATTACTTCCTCAGCCTCGCACTTTCGCAGAGCAGACAGGGTCAGCGTCAATGAACAGAAAATTGGATTTCAGCCGACTGGAAGGATTGTCGACTTAGTGGAAGCAGGTTTAACTCTTGTTTGACTGGCACATTCATCTCAGGCCAGGAAAGCCCGTGCAAATAAACCTTCTAAGAGTAGTCTTCATCAAGAAAACCGCCCTCAGAGTTTCGAAAATAAACCAGGGGTTGGGATGTTGTTGGGAGTGCGTCCATTTCCCACGATGAGTCACGGCAGAGAAAGGCGTCGGAACACAGTTTTCACGCCGCGCGCGCCGTAGCTATCGATTTTTCTTCATAGCTGATTGGTCCATTGTCGCTAATGCTCCCTCATCAATCTGACTGAAAAGATGCCCCCGCAGCCTTTTGAGTGACTTGTTTGTCTTGCAGTGACTTGCGCTGACTTATTTTGTGTTGATACACGTCCCTCGTGGCCGATTGACTTGGCCTTGGGGGCAACAGCCGGGCTAGATCAAAGTTCATGCTAATTATGAGCACCCGACGCGGGTCGTAGCAGATATCTAGTTAAAAGAAAGCTCACAATTGAAGTTTTACATGAATGTATAGTACTTGGTCCACAGTTGTACCAAAAGCAAATGTGTGACAGAACCACCCTCAAACTCAATTATTAACCTGAATTCGGCCGAGTGAGGTATGAAATATCGGGCGGTCATAAACAGCCTAATGGTTTGAACAGAAAGGCAGGCTTAGAAGTGTTACCTTCAGATTGTCAGGCAGCTCCGATCGACCGGCGTAACCGGGGTTCATGGTGATGAAGACGGCGCAAGTCGGGTCCAGTGTCAGTTCCGTGCCTTCAAAGACTAGACGCTCCTGGCCAGCGTTTACAGCACGTTGAATGGTCAAGATCTGCTGGGCAACCACAGACAACACCTCCAGGTCGATTCGATTGAATTCATCGAAGCAGGACCAGGCACCGCATGACAGAAGGCCCTAGTAGAAAAAACAATAAACTTTAGCATTTCACAAATTCCTTCAAAAAATTGATATGGACACCGTGATGTAAATAACATATCAAGAGCGGTCAAACCAACACGACTACTGTCGAAACGTTCCCTTTACAGTCCACTCCTTCTTAGGTATTACGTCCTATTTCTCATCACAGGAAAAAGCAAGCTTGCTCTCGTAGTCAAACTGCACACTCTTCTTCCTCCGCTTTGCCTAAGAATCCTTATAATTTTTGGGTACATTGATTGGTAGGGATTCCCTGTGGAGCCGCCTGGGGAACCTGTGAAGCGAGCCCCTCAGGCTTACGGGCATCTGATTGCAGGGGAGAGGATGGATAGGGCATGTCAGGGAGCAAATTAAATCGCAATATTTCTGTAAAATAAAAAAAAAAGTTACGAGGGCAAGTTGGGTCGCGTACTCAAACCTTGGGAGAGGACACTGACATGAGCTTTAATATCATCGCGAACCCCCCGCCCTACCAACGGCGAACGCGTGTATGTAGGG